TAATAGTTAAGAGAAAACAAACAAACCCTTAGGCATGGGAAAACCACCTCGGAGCTTGAAACCTCCAGAGCTGGAGARGTTTTAGTATCTTCTAACATGGGTATTTCTTTCTTCTTTTTAAAATCTTTAGACATCTAATCAAAATTAAAATTGGATATTTTGTTCCCCCCTTTAATAATGAGTCAATAAATGCATATGTATCGAGTTCTTAGATGAAGAGCCATGTCCCAAATTAGAGATAGAACAATAACCGCTTGTAGATGAATGGTGAGACTCATCGTTAATTCCCCCATCTCCTTGGATCCCCCAATATGTTGGTTGTACCTACCTAGGAATCTCATTTGCTTTTTCATTGAACATCACTAGATTCTCCCAGTTCCATTGAGAGGGAATCTTTGGTTCCTAACGCATGACGAAAACTATGGTTGAGCTTGATATCGTGCAAGTTACACGTCAATAAGAAAAGACCTAGAATCCACTAGGTTGAAACTCTGGTAATGCACTAGAAAATTAGAGAAACTCTGAAGAAATTGTTTTTGAAATTCACTACCTCTAAACAAAGGCTTAGGGTCCCTTTTATAGGCCTTGAATTACAAACTTACTCAAACTAGGAAACCAATTCCTAAGGAAACAAATAGGAAAGGAGACAACTCTTACACCTTTCCTAACTAATCTAAAATAAAACAAACAAATAAGAACTCTACTAAGACTAGGGAACTCAAAAAAAAGAAACAAATAAGAAAGTTGAGTGCTTCCGTGGGACTATGCATTTTCATCATTTCAATCATTTTTTAGGCAGTTTCTTCCTATCCAATTGCTCCATGTATTTATTTGCAAGCTGCTCTACATCATTCCCCTCCATTTGAAAGAAATGTGTCCCTGAGTTAATCTTTGGATAAGATGGACCATTAGATGGAAAGTATTCATACAAATCAACAACATTAAAAGGTTTCAGAGATATTCATGTCCTTAGGAAGATCAACAACATAAGCATTGCTGTTGATTTTCCTTAAGATCTGGTAGGGACCATAATTCTTTGGCTTCAATTTGCTATAGGTACCAACAAGAAACCGCTCCTTACACAAGAACACCATTACCTGGTCTCCTACACCAAATACCTTCGCTCGTTGTCGCTAACTGCTGCCTTGTATGTAGCATTGGACTCTTCTAGCTTCTATTTCACCTCTGCTACAGTAGCTTGGTAATGTTCAGCCATGGCTCTAGATGCGACACTCGTGCCAGAAACATTAGGCAACTTTACCAGATCTAGAACATGCTTGGGCTCCTTTGTGTAGATGATGGAGAATGGAGATCTCCCACTGTTTGGGCTTGTCACCATAGATGCTCCTAATCAAATTGCCTAGAGTTTCGTTTACTACCTCAGTTTATCTATCTGTTTGAGGATGTGTTGTGCTATTGAAGTTAAGTTCAATATTGAACTACTTCCATAAAGTCAACCAAAAGTGAGCTAGAAACTAATTGTCCCAACTAAGGTGATAGACTTAGGCACTCCTTGCACGCACAATCTCCTAGAAGAATAATTTTTTCACATGTGCTACATCAGTAGTCTTGTGGCAAGGAATGAAATTTACCATCTTTGAAAATCGATCGACTACCATGGACACAAAATATACTCCTCTTTGATTTCTGGGGAGTCCTAACACAAAGTCCATAGATAAATCCTCCCAACGTTCTAACGGCACTGGTAGAGGCATGTAAAGACCTGTGTTTTGAGATTGCCCCTTTGTGACTTGCTAGACAGGGCACTTTCTCAAATAATTTTTGACATCCTTCTTCAGTTGAGGCCAATAATACCTTTCTTCCATGCTATTGATTGTCTTGTCTCTGCCAAGATGGTCATCCAAACCTCTAGCATGTAATTCACGAATCACCTTGTCTTGTAAGGATGTTCTAAGGAGACACAACTTGTTTCCCTTGAATAGAAAGCCATCATGTACAAGAAAATCACCAATAAGCTGTCTAGTGATATGTTTCTCCCATATGTTGCCAAAATCCTCATCAGTTTCATAAAGATCCTTCAAGCACTCAAACCCAACAACTTCATTACTTATAGTGATGGGTAGAGTGAAGCGTCTGTTTAATGCATCTGCTACACGGTTCGTAGCGCCAGATTTATGTTTGATAACATAATGAAACTACTCTAAAAAAGTTGTCCACCTGGCATGCATCTTGTTGAGGTGTTGTTGATTTCTAAAATACTTTAGTGATTGGTGGTTTGAATAGATCACAAACTTCTGTTGAATTAGATAATGCTCCCAATTCTTAAGAGCTCGAATAACTACGTACAACTCCTATTCATATGTTGACCACTTCTATCATGCCTCGTTTAATTTATCATTGAAGTAGGCTACTGGTTTACCTTCTTGAGATAGAGCACCACTGATTCAAACCCCACTAGCATCACACTCTAACTCGAAGACTTTGTCAAAGTCTGGTAAAGTTAGTACTGGTGCAAAATATAACCTCTCCTTGATTTCAGCAAAGCTTCTTTTATCCTCTTCTATCCACTTGAACTTCCCTTTCTTCAAATAGTTGGTGATGGGGGACACAATGCTGTTGAAATTTTAGATGAATCTCTTGTAAAAAATGGCCAAATCATGAAAGTTGTGTACCTCCGTCACAATCTTTAGAGATGGCGAATTCCGAATAGCCTAGATCCTTTGATCATCCATATGTATCCCATCAGCACTAATTATATAACCAAGGAACACCAATCTATCGGTCATGAAGTGACACTTTTTTAGATTGACATAGAGCTCATTCTCCTATAGTGCCATTAGTGCTTTCTGTAGATGTTTTATATGATCTCCCATAGATTTGTTATGGATCAAAATATCATTAAAATAGACCACTACAAACTTGTCAATAAAGGGTTTGAGTACCTAATTCATCAGCCACATGAACGTGCTAGGAGCATTAGACAGTCTGAAGGGCATCACCAACCAGTTATATAAGCCCTCCTTAGTTTTGAATGATGTTTTCCATTCATCGCCATGCTTGATACAGATCTAGTGATATCCGCTCTTCAGGTCAATTTTGGAGAACATATTGGATCCTCCCAATTGGTCCAACTTATCATCCAATCGAGGAATGGGAAATCTGTATCGGATGGTRATCTTGTTGATGGCATAGCTATCAATACATCTTCCAGCTTCCGTCCTTCTTTGATGTTAGCAACGCAGGTGCTACACAAAGGCTAATGCTCTCTCAAATATGCCCTTTTTCAGCTCCTCCACTTTCTCTCTTAGGATCTTACTCTCCTTTGGGCTCATCCAGCAATGCGGCAGATTTGGCAAGGTGGTACCAGATATCAAATCAATCTGATGTTGGATGTCACACATAAGGGTAGATGGTCTAGTTCCATAGTTAGGGCCTTGAACTTGTCCAATAGGGATTGCACCTACTCTAGAACTTCACGATCGGGCTCTACCTCACCCCTGATCACCAAAACAAATGTATCCTTGGCCTCCTTGGCATCTACAAAAAAACTTAAGTTCCAACGAAGATATTGAAAGGAAACACTGTCTCTCCACTTTAGAAGCTTTGGGTGCGCCTCCCTTTGGTATAAGAGCAATCATCCTATTCTCCTATTTAAACAAATACATATTTTGTCTTCCTCTATGTGTAGAATCAACATCATATTTCTATGGATGCCCTAACAACACATGACATGCATCCATTTCTACTACATCACACGTGACAGTGTCTTTATAAAGTTTACCCAAGGAGAGAGGAACCTTATAGATTTCTGTCACCTGAATGCCATTCTTGATCCACCTGATCTGATAGGGGGCCGGATATGGTTTTGTTGTCAGCTACAAGTGATTAACTAGCAGCTGACATAAGGGTTATTGTTGGTCCTGCTAGTAGAAGCTCTAGCCTAGGGTTTTGAGCCATCCCTTGCTTGAGTCTTTATAGGTTATGCTCTAGAATGAGATGTGTAGGAGATCTAGACTCAAAGTTTGGTTGTTTGGGCAGGGGTGGAGCCACGAAGTGGCAAAGGGAGCCATGACCCCAGGCTCCTATGCCTTAAAAATCCTCACAATCCCCGTCTATATCCCACTCAAGGTTCAAAATATGGATACACTCCCATATGACAAATGGGTGTATCAGTATTTTATACCACTTTTTTTTTATTGTTTTTTAGTTTTTTTTTTCAAAAATAGGGTAGAAGTGTAGGTCTTAGGCCTGCCTACCCCCTAAAATGTGTCAAACGCCCAATATATATATATATACGTTTGGAAAAAAATTCTTGTGCACCTTACCTCATGTTTTTTTTTTCAAACAATTGAAGTTTTTTCACTATGAAAAAAAGGGAGAATGACGGTTCATCCCAGGGTCAGTTTTTAGGCCCAAAAGTACAGTTGGGGTGGGTGCCAGCTCGGAATTGATGAGGACATTGGTGTATAAAATGTGGATTTTTGACATTTTAAATGTTTATAGCTGTGCATTGGAATTCAGAAATTTGGACCTATCCGATACTTTTCCAAAAGAAATTGTCTATCTCAATTTGACAGCGTGGACACATTAATTCACAGCATGGGCTGTTGAAAGTGAGAAAACTTTGGCCATTGGGAGCGTTATGGGGCATGACAAATTGACACGTTAACCCATTGAATCCCCTGTTCGTCTTTTTGGTGAAAAGAAGATACAGGACAATTACTCTTTTACCCCCACACCCATGGTAGCGTGTCATGCCCAAGAACGTTTCCAACAGCCCAAGTTTCCTGGTTGAAGGTAGGTATCCAAGTTTTATAAGGGCTATGGGAATAACCAATAAAGTGTAGACACGTCAGCCCTCCTTATTTGTATACAAAACTCTTGTCTACACTATTGATTGGTTAAGTATCCCGTGGTTAACGCCTTTGTTTCAGTTATCTGCGCGCCTTTGATTGCAGTTGTAGAGATTGGAAAGACTGAATCTTGGTTTGTTAGAAAAAAAAGAAAAAAACATGACGGGTATATGAGCTAATGACTCATACTTAAATAACACCCATTTACTTAATTAGTACCTCAATTCAAAACAGTATCGTACTGGAAAACAGCAAGAAGTACAGTCACATTGACAACACAACCATACAACCCTAGAAAAAGAAAAAAAAAAAGCTAAAAATTATAGGATAGACATCCTCCATTGCTCCTTCTATACGTTATTGTTCTAGGCTTCTAGTTATAGTTCTAGCTAAGGGGGGATCATTTTGATTTGGGCAAACACAGTAGTTTATTGTAGCAACTTTCTAGTGGATTTGTTGCAGTAGCATGGTCCAAAGGGCGCTCACTTGATTCTGCTTCAACGTCTTCTCGCAGCTGTTTCTCTTTGGGCATTGAAGAAGACAGCAGCCACAGGAAGCCCCAGATCATTCTCCTCTGCGAACTTTCGAGTGCTGAAGTGGTCCCTTGAAGCAGGTGGAGTGATTGTTTGTCTTCGTTTCTGCTTGAAGAGAACAAACACAAACCTGTGGATCCCAATGGTAGGCCTTGGTATCTCATAGCTCACCACCTCTCTTCCTGTTTAATGGAGAACCCACAGTTAGTTTAGTTTCATCCCATTCTCTCTCTCTCTCTCTCTCTCTCTGAAACTTACCGAACGTAGCATCTGTTGTTCCTGGGATGTCCGTCACTATCCTGTAAGAAGGAGAATATAATGCAGGGTGAGCTTAAAATCTGTGGATAAATGGAATACAACAATAAATATAGTTTCTCTTTTTTCCTTCTTGTCTTGTTAAACCCATTGATCTAGAGATCATAATGAACGCCTCTCTGTGTACAGAAGTTGATTAAGGATGCTCCTTGTAATGCTTACACATGTTTGGGTTCCTCAGTTGGATGGTGTAATTGGTACTTTTTGGGTGCTAATCCAAGTTCTTATCAGACAGTGCAGACCCAAGTGACAGAAACAAGTACAAGGAATACTCACTTGCACCTTAAGAGACCCATCACCCACCCTCTCTTTGTAGGTGTAGGTGTGGGGGAGATGTGAAGCAGCATATCATGAGAGCTAGGTAACAAGCTCAATTCTGTTAGAATATTTTCTAGTTCATATTTTGATTGTATATATATGTTACTGTTTCTTCTTTGGAAGGTGTATTTTAGAGTATACCAGTGCAGGTGCTCCATCAGATATGGATCACTAGGGCCAGGAGCATCTGGGTCTGTCATAACCTGCAAATGAAGAAGTTGGATTTGTTAAAAAAAAATATATACATGTAGAAAAGAATGTTAGGTGGTTTGAGTATTATTATCTCAATTTCTGTATATATATATGAAGGAAAAGTCAAAAGAATAAAGAGGAAATATTGAAGAAAAATAACTAAGGGATGTAAAATAATACCAGTGTAAAGAAAGTTCTCATATCACCTCCCTGAACCTCGACCCTAGGTTTAGTGGTTACAGAGGAAGGATAGAACTCGTGGCCATTGTAGACTTGCTTGTTGGAGTTGTAAGTCACAGTCATCTTTACTGTTGGAGAAAATGAATCAAGAACATCTCCAATTACTTTGCCAACAGTGAGAGGCTCTAACAATTTTGCATTGTTTGCCATGACTGAGAAGAGAGAGGACTGAAGGAGAGACTTAGGATTTGAGAGAATTGGATAGGGAAATGTTTCTCTGAAGGCTTGTTACTGGGTATGAGAGTGGAAGCCTCATATTTATAGGGAGCGGCGGAGTTGGTTCTTACTTTGTAATTACTTCTATAAGAAGATTTTTCCTAACTGATGCTTTTGTGAATTTTGATCTTCTCAAATGACGTGTTCATTTGTTCTCAAATGACGTGTTCATTTGTAGCACAAATCAAACTAGTTAATCTAAAAAAAAAGAAAGAAATTCTGCATGTGGATCTACACTAAGCTAGATGACAGTTTTTCTCTTTTTTTTTTTTCTTTTTTTTTTTGTTAATTAAACGAGTCAAAGAGAAATTATTTCAAGCTCCTGTGAGAGAACATTCTTAATATGGGAAAGATGTTTCTCTTTTTCATTTAAGGTAAAGGGAGAGAACCCATTGAGGTGTTGCTGAAACTGCCCAAACTATACACAATAAAGGAATTAGAAATCCGAAAGATTCTCTAACGAGGTTGGGAAGCATAAAGGGACTCCACCACAAATGCACCAACTATATGTGCTCAATTAGTGCTCAGATGTCATTTCAAGTAAAGAGATTCAAGGGAGTTCTTGAAATGGCAAAAGAACAGGTGGAGTTCTATTGATGGAAATGTATAAAGTGCTTCTCTGAGTTCCCACCTCTGGACTTCATTTGATAATTCTAAATGCACAAACTCATATTTCACCTTTTCTCCTTTCTTAGCATAAAGTTTGATTTCATTTTATTTTTTTAAGTTTTTGCTTTAAGTAGAATAATAGGGGTACACATAACCAGTGCTTCTATACATGTTTGGACCCACAACCAGATCATGGCTTTCATCTTGGAGATCTCCTAAATCAAGAAAAAGAAAGCAAGATAAAATTGAAGTTCCTTATGATCAAATCATCTTAGCCGTTCATTTTCCTCTATGAAATGAAATTTGTGTATTTAAATATTAATAACAGTCTAGCATTGTCATGTCAAGTGTAAAGAGGGGTTCAATTTAGATTTCTTTGGGTGATTTTCCCAATTAAATTTAGCCACATGGGATGCTCATTTGGCCAATCAGATTCCTCCATCAAGTCGGTGAAGGTCTGAATTAGCTATAATTCACTTGCGAGCTCATTCCATGTCAGCATAGCCATAACCCATGCACATGTATTGGATCTTTCTCTGCTGGCTAACTCAAAGAAAGTAGGATTTATTGAACATTTTCTAGGCTACTAGTCTATTAGTCTCCTAGCAAAGAGATCTAGACGACCCAGGAATCTCTCATACATGTGAAAGTTCAATAATGGAGGCTTAAAGTTGAAAGAGCTTCATCTGTTTTTTCTACTACTCCATCCAACTCCTTTCATGGGGGGTATCAGAGCTTTATAAGCCCAATATCCCTTACCACATGGTGTAACAGAGACCTTCTCATGTGTCAACCCTACCCTGTTTATCACTTATTGGCTGGAATCCTGGAATGGTCTTGAGAGGGGTAGACTGGGTACGATCTTAATTTTTGACAATCTTTTTGCACAAAGGGATAGACTGATGAACTATACGTAGCACAACCCATTAGGGCTGTCAGTTCATTGGGAAAATTCGATAGACACACCTGACTCAATTATATAGGATTTTGGTCTTCATTATATGTTCGAAATTTTCAATTATAATTGGGTTTTGATCTATTTTAGGCTATGTTCGTTTTAAAGGAAAAAGTAGGAAACCTTTACAAACCTTGTATGGGTTTCCTGCCTTATCTTTCCTTTCCCTACTTTTTTCTTCAAACCAAATACACCCTTACTTGATTCAACTTTCAAGTTGAGCAACACCCATACCAATCATGGTTTTTAAAACTGACCCGGAGACTGAACCGGTTAGGGGTCTAGTTACCGGGTTGAACGGTCCGGCCTTTTGAATTGAACGGTTGGCCTGTTCTGACAAAAAATAAAAAAAAAATTAAAAAACTAAAATAAATAAAAAATGGTCAAAACCGTTTGAACGGTCAGCCTGTTCTGACAAAAAAAATAAAAAATAAAAAACGGTCAAAACCATTCAAACGGTTAACTGCCCGGTTCAGCAGTTTGTTGACCAAAATCAACATTTTTTTGAAAAAATCCGGTTTTGGGGGAAAACAGAACCGGTTACCTGACCTGACCGGTTCCTGGTTTTTCTGGTCTGACCGTCCGATCTGGTCTGATTTTGAAAACCATGATACCAACTATATATTGACATATAGCAAAGGTGCCTCCAGTCTAATGCCTATTTTTTTTTCTCTTTCACCATAAAAAAAAATACTTCTTTTCGTGATATACTATGAGGTCAGTCCACCCTATAAACTTTAGTACAATTTATACAATTTTATGGAGTTTGAAATCAACCCCCCAGTTTTCCACAACGTTCAACAGTACATCCTCACCGTGTATTGGGAACAACTCCCAATGACGCTTCATTATTTCTAGTATTATCATCAGGAGATATTTCCAATATATGGCGAGAATATGCTGTGGGACATTGTGGGAAACTATCTTGTGGGGATGATTTGAACTCAATTTTATGATGTCTAACTATATCATTTTAACAAATAAGTATGTTTATTATCAAATTAATTACCTGTTAAAAATATAGCTGTTAATTATAATCAGGTCTCATGGATCAAACCTGATTGCCCCGATTTGGTTCAGAACTGGCTGTGCATATTTAGTTATCGGGTCATGGGTAAGGTCTACCTTGATCCAAACCAGACCCGACCCATTAACAGCACTACTCACTATATGGATTTGGCGACATGGTTTGAGGTTGAGCAGTTGAGTCATGATAATGTGAAGTTGAATAAACTTGAGATAATTAAAGTTCCAGGGGATCCCATTGACTCAGTAAATTGGGTCTGTCTACATGGAGGCCGGCACACCCTTGTGAGAACACTGAGCAAGCATTCAATAAACATTTCGAAAGCTGACTTACAAATTTGAAGGGTAGGCTGGGGCTATTTATGGGACAGGTGTCCAAAAATTTACTGAGTGCTTATTCAATGTGCCCAAATTCAAACTCCTCTGTATAGGACCCACGTGATGGGTTTGGTGACTCCAACGAGTTTTTGCTGTTCAGTCTAAACGGATGGTTTGTCAAATTCATAAATGGCCAAAACCATTCCCGGGTCAAACGGTTCGACAGTTCGATTGTTTGGGTCAGTGGTTCGTTGACCAAATTAACATTTTTTGACAAAATATAGCGGTTTTGGAGTAAAACTAAATCAATTAGGTAACAAGTTCTTGGTTTTTCTGGTCCAATCGTCTGCTGGTCTGGTATGGTTTTGAAAACATTGGTTTAGAGTTTCTTTTAAGATTTATTAAAACATAATTTCTTGAATTCTAGCACAATTCACAATTTTGTAGAGAACAAAAGGTTCAATAGTCTATTTTAGCTGTTTTATGGCCTTATATCATGGATGCAAATACATGATATAAGGCTCCTTCCAAACTGAGACCTATATGTGCAATGCATGGGAAAACCCAATGTCCAAATTGATGACAAAATTATCAAAATGATATACTAAGTGTCATCGATATGGTAAACTATCAATTATTGAAAAGTAAATAATTTAACAAAAATAAATAATATTAGATGAGAAATTATAATTAATGGACATTAATACACATCAATAATAGTTAAATGAAGTAATATGGACACTAATACACATTCAATGAGATAATATTTTACGTATAATAAATATAAATGAAGTAATATGCCATGAAAGAAAGGCCCTGTTTGGTTTGCAAGAATAGGGGATCTGGAATCGGAATCGGAACGGGCTATTCCAATTCCAATTTTTTGGTTGGGTGGAATCTGAATCCCATTCCCATTCCTGCTGGAATGGCATTCCCCCATTTGAGGGAATGATCATTCCCTGCCCCTCCCTTGTGAATGAAATCCTATTCCTGCTAATTCTACTTCTCGGGGCAGGGAGCCAGATAGCTTTGGTCCTTCCTCCATGTTAATGGAGAGACTTAGGACCTTGGTTCTCCAATTTAACCTCCCCAGAGACTTTGTCTATAGTTTCCCCTCCGGTGACTATCCCTGGGAGCACGGTCCTGATGAGATAGTGATCTTCCAGGAGCAGCTCATCGCTGGCCTCGTCTTCCTCTGCATCCTTTGATAGTGGAGGTTTTGAATCACTTCAACGTCACTGTTGACCAGCTTCACCCCAACTCCATCCGAAATGTAGTTGGGACTATCTCTTTGTTTTATGAGTACTGTCTTCCCCTTGACCTTGACATCCTCTCCACCATTCTTTGCATTAAGAATGCTTCTCCTGGAGCGCCTCCAGAAAGGCGTTCCTACTATTTTTCTCCCCGCCGCAGCTTCAAGCTCTTATACGTGCTGCCGAATAGGATCCCGGCCTGGAAGCGGGACTATTTTGTAGTTCGCAACCTCGAGGGGTGGCCCTTCCCAACTCACTAGAGGGCTGCCATCTTGGATTCGGGAGTTGACTTGGACCCCAAAGTTTGGGAAACACTGCGATCCTGGGCAGCGGTTGGCTTCCATTGGTCGGACTACTTGACTGAGGACAAGCTTGCGCAGGCTGGCCTGAGCCTGGGTAGGTTGCCTTTTAGGTCGCGTAGTGCCTTGTAAAATTTTTTTACTGGACTAATACCTTGTGATTTTTGGCAGCCGTCATGTCTGGTGTTGACGCACGCCGCCTTCTATCCAACAACTAGAAGCGCAAGGCGAAGAGGTCGCGTCCTGACCGAGCTTCCACTTCTGGGGGTGCTGAGTTCGAGTCTGCTGACCCAATCTTCACTTCTCCACCGCCTGAGGTCCCACCGGTCCCATCCGAGGGAGTTGCCACAGAAGGGGGCCTTGCGAAGGGCGAGCTCCCGGGGCAAGGATTGTTCCCTCCGTCTGGGCCATCCTGCCCCTTCCCCTTCCCGCAATTCCCTACCAGGAACTGGGAGGGTGTTAATGACTACATCGTGGCTGCACGAAAGAGCCGAAGGGCGATCTGCCACGAGGAGGTCGCCAGCTGGGGAGAGATGGACCCCAAGGAGCTTGCCAGGCTAGCCTCCACTCACT